AAAGGCGGGGCATAGAGGAGAAACAATAATGTACAGTATGTGGAAAAGAATGTGTTTTTTTAACCTTAAACCTTAAAGATGGACTGGAGTGGTGTGGATTACTTGTGATGTTTTTATCAGCTGTTTGGACTCTCATTCTGACGGCACCCATTCACTGCAGAGGATCCGTTGGTGAGCAAGTGATGCAATGCTACATTTCTCAAAATTTGATGAAGAAACAAACTCATCTACATCTTGGATGGCCTGAGGATGAGGACATTTTTTAGCAAATTTTCATGTTTGGGTGAACTACTCATGTAACACCACAAAATGAGTGAAACACTTGTGATGTTTTTATCAGCTGTTTGGACTCTCATTCTGACGGCACCCATTCACTGCAGAGCATCCATTGCTGAGACACTGATGCAATGCTACATTTCCCAAAATTTGATGAAGAAACAAACTCATCTACATCTTGGATGGCCTGAGGGTGAGGACATTTTTTAGCAAATTTTCATGTTTGGGTGAACTACTCCTGTAACACCACAAAATGAGTGAAACAATCCCACAGAGAGGAAAGACACCTGCAGTGTTAAGAGAAGTCATACATAACAGCTGATACATACAGTTAAATACTTAGATCAGCATAGATCAGCGCAGCAAGTCACTGTGTTCCCTAAACACACACAGCAATTACTTTAACACGCCAGCAATTTCTAACCACAAATACTGGAATTTAAAGAAATAAAACACACTTTCTAATGCATTATATTTACCATGGCATGTGCAACCGTGTTTATATCAAGAGAAGTATAGAACTAACAGATAAGAACTAACGCCATATGGTTTTGGTTAATGACTACACAAAAGAGTTTATTGTACCTTTTTGGCATTGGAGGATTTGGGCGACTTGTTTCGGGGAGATTTTCTCAGAGTGGAGTCCCGAGGAGACTTGCCGGCCACCGCCGAACGCAGGGCACGACCGGCCACGGCGGGAGATTTGCGGGCGCTGTTACGCAGCTTGTTGAGGCCACGCTGCAGCCTGCTGTCACCGCGAGTGCTGTTCTTTGGAGTATTTACAACAGTGAACATCAAAGATTGCCTTCGCTCGGCCTAGTAAGAGGAAACAGAAATATTATCACTCTACATTATTTACACAGCTGTCTAAATGAGCATACACAATATGCTTCCACAGAGCTGTTCTGCTTATTGCCCGAAAAACCAAAAAACAAGTAGCATTTGTGAGGTACATGTTCTAGGGATATTTTACAACAATTTTAATCTCAAATGAAGACTAGTTTAGTAACAACTACAGACAATAAAAGTATCTTACCGGTGAGTTTGGAGGTCTGTTTTGACTGTTGCCGAACATGCCTTTAGGTGTCACAGGTCGTGGGAAGCAACTTGCCAACTTCTTTGCCTGTGGAAACAATTTTTTAACATTTTGAGTTTATTAGACTGGTTTAAAGACACACAGAACCAATTCTTAAAATCTGGTCCTATAAAATAAGTTTTATTTTTATTTCCGGTTTCAATTTTACTGATTTAGTTTTAACGGTTAAATAAAATTTTAGTAATGAAAAAGCATAGCTGATTAATTTAAATTCAGAAAAATTTAAGAAAAGTTTAACAGTTTTACATTTTACAAATCCCCCCCCCACCCACAAATTTTTTTTTATATTTATACTAAATATATACACACACACACATACATACATACATCCCCCCCAAAGAAAACGTTTTCAGGATTAATTTTTAATGGTTTAATTACATTAATAACAAAAGGCATATCTAAACAATTTAATAAAAAAAAATAAAAAAAAGTAAACTTTTACGACAATACGGCCCTATGAAAGGATTAATTTTTTTCATAAATTCAGTGTTGTCCGTTTTAAGTTTTCTGGATTTATGACTCGAAATATTAACCAATTAA